CCAGAGAAGCTTCAGGGCCGTGGCCCAATTAATACCCTTTTTAGGCCGATTTCTACGATTTATTCACCCCGCAAAAGAAGTCTGGTGGAGACTAGATTGGACAGAGGACTGGCGGGGAATGTGTTGAGAAGAATCTAAGTCGTCAGACCACGGCAGAAAACGTTTATGCCTATTAAACAGATTAGCTTAACACATTTAAGATTCCCGGCTAAGCCAGATCGGTGAATGAAGAAAGCAACTGAGTGTTTCATTCCAAGCCTTTTCTTTTTAATTCTTGTTGACTTTTAATTCAAAACAAGTTCACGATCGTTTATTCAGCCCAGGAAAGTTCTCTTGAAAGATCTTGAAGCGTTCAGGACGACAAACTGTAGGATGCAAGTTCGCACATGTACACGTATTGCCTGACGTATTGGTTCGAAAGATAAAAATAAAATGATCTATTCTTTCTTTTTTTTTGTGACCTTTAACCAAAGAAAATTTTCCCTTTATGTTGCTTTTCAGAAGTTGGCCAGTTTGCGCCAAGGAGATTTTTTTGGTCTTGTAACTTTACGCATAGAATGCAACTTTCACTTTGAAAGCCAAGGCATCCACTTTAAAAGTAAAAGTTCATTCTGCATCTGAAACCCAGGGCTGTACATTAAGATGCACAAAAATGTATTAACTGGGTAAGACTGACGTGTTCAGCATTACTTAAAGAAAGAAATCATCGATTAATTGAATCAAGTCAGGAGAAAATTGTAAAATACTCCGATGGGTTCAATAAAGTTGAGCAATTGCTGGAGGTCATTGACCCGGAACCGGGGACGTCCGCCATGTTGCAGATTTCCCACAATTCACCGGCATAGCGACAAATTGCTGGGAAATAATTTCATAAATATCCGTCCGCTTTTAACCATAACAACAAATATATAGCATTATGTATAAGTATTATCTTTATATTTATCATATTAAGTGAGTATCATATTGCAGTTGTGATTTGAGGTCATTTATAAGTCTTTTGCTTTGATGTATCATTTCGCACTATTTTTCTTTCGCGTGAGGATAAATATTTTCAGTCGGCAGTGCTGTGGCATAGGCAGAGGTTAGCGCAAGAAACCTCACAATGAAATGTAAAATTACCAAGTATATTCCCGTCACCATAGCAACGCTGCTGTTGTTTGGGTGCTCTGCTCTCTTCTTCATCTTTCCGTGAGTATCCTGACCAGTTTTGGTGCTTTAATTCTTTGTTGTTAGCGAGATTTCGGCCATCTACCCAGCCGATGTAGCGCTGCTGGTATAGTGCTCAGTGCAATGGTGGATATGTAAAAATGCCGGGGTGGGTCGAAATTGGGTCGCTATGTCGAGAATACGGCCCTGTTTTGGTTTATTTTTGGCCGGGTACGAGCTGATATGGCTAAGCAGGCATCTGTGAACCAGATCCGTGCTTCGTTGTTGTGATTTTGAGCGATCTTTGAGCCTCGCAACTCCGGTATTGACATCACGGAGTTGGAAGTGCTTTATACCTCTGGATTGCCCCCACTATTATTTTCCCACTCTCTAAAATCCTGATCGATCTAGCGGCCACTCGGCACAGCTTGGTTCCTCTTCACAGGTTGTGCTGACTTCAGCCTGAAATCTGCACCTCACACGGATATCAAAATCGAAAAAAATACTACATTTTAACGAAACAGCCAAATATTTACAAACATGCATAATTTCATTCCGACTACGCCTATTGTCACTTTCACCGAATCCACATTATAATCTTGTTTATTGCTTGTGGTAAAATGATTATTCAAACATGGTTATGTTGAATACACATGCATAACCCTTGTTTTTATTTGTTAAAGTCCTCAGGATTGTATTTGTTTACAGATAGAGCTATTGTTATTGTTATGCATTGTGTTGGAATTGTAAATACTGTCATCACATTACACCTGTCATCACTGATAACATTGTTTTTGCAGGTGTCAAAAGAATTTCTGTAATCTGTTTAGCCAGTATAACCACCCTTTGGTAAAACCAGCCTTGCAGACAATGCAGGATTATTTATTTCATTACATTATATCATATTATACTGAACAACCTGTCACACCTAACCTGTGCACATCAAGCAAATCATCATTGAGAAAAATATTTTAAGATATATCAATTACTAGTAGTTTTATCCAGAGAAGAAATATGCATTTTTTTCAATATCGCCTGTTTGATTGGTACATGTACATATTCTTGTAATTGATTGGTAAATTTACCGTCTGAATGATTTACATAAAGCCATTATGCTACTACAAGCCAATTACAACAAAATCTATGGTATCATCCAGAAAAGACAGCGTTTTATTAAAGATTATACTATGATAGGCACTAGCAATTTTGCAGCTTACAGTCTAATTGTTAATTTCTGTATTGCCTGGGAACATTTAGGACGTTTATTTGTTTTTGACAGAATTAATTTGCCCTTTCTCTTGTAGAAAGACTGAAAGGTTTATGAGAAACAGAATTACACAGTCAGTGCTTCGGAGTGACACTGTGTGCTAATATACCTTGGCGCCAAGCAGCATGTGCTCCCTATTCCTGTCACAAATAATTACCGTTGGAGGACGGAAAAAAACACAGTTAATTTGAAGAGCTTTCCAATAACGGTACCCAGTGACTTTGCCATCCATCAACCACAGCTATTGACTGTCTGATTGTTTTCCGAACACCACCTCGCGCCACGGTTTTACCATTCACACTGGACGTTAGAGCTTTAGTTTTATGTAAGCCCTGTAACGGCCCTGTAAATATCCTCCTATTGACGCCTCTCCTCCTATCTGCATGCAGAAGACGTTCCTGTGATTTTTGTCATCTACAGGCAGTTGAGGGATAAAGTATGGATTAAGGACAGACGTCAGACCCAGGCACATTCTGCAGGGCCCTGATAAGATAACTTTATTAAAAGCGTACTCAAACGCACGGCGATTACGGTGCTGTGATATCGCTAATATTCACAGGTCGGGTCTTGTTACATCACTGACTTATTGCTTCTCCTTTTGCATACATCTTTATGCATACCGTATCAAACTCTTTAGTAGTATACATTCAACATGGCGATTAGGTTATGGTAATATCGTTAATATTTACAGATCTGGCGCCATTGCTTCAGCAAACGCCGCAATTCCCTTTTGAATACGTCTTGATCCAGACCATAACTTGTAGCGTGCATCGTGCCTTCGAAATAGGGATAACGCCGCTGCAATATCGTTAATATTTACAGATCTGACAACCGGCGCCATTACATCACCACACGCCGCTTTTCCCTCATTGCACACATCTGATTCCTCCCATGCATCATCAGCCATTACCGGATAAGATGACGTGCAGCATATAGCATAAAGTAGGATAAACAGTCCCGGGGGGGTCTACCTGGTCATTAGGGCTGTCCAGGAGGATCCCAAGTACTCATTACCTGACAACATGTCAAACAGACAGACGCACTAATCATACATGCATCTGCTATTCATTATTCAGAGCAGAAATGTCTGAAAGAAGACCTAGATTGACTACAAAGGGCTTTTGTTTCTCTTTGTTCTGGAGAGGGACTCAGGTGCAATAGCAGGGTACCTGTTGTCCTGGGTCTCCTGTTTAATTGGCACTAGTTATAGAGTTGTTCGCTCAGTGTATTTTATTCTTCTGAGCCTTAAAATTTTCTCCAGGTAGCAGTTGGGTATTTCAAGTCCTGGTAGCCAAAGTAACATTACTTACAATACAATCTGGGATAATGTAGTCACAGAAGCAGCATAATATAATCTGTGCTATATTGTTCTAGATATAACTGTATAGAAATATAATAGACAGTGTAGTTGATCCATCGAATTTGTGTACATTCAATTGTGAAGCTCATTCGTAATCGTATCAAGAAGTGCATGTAGTAGCATTTGTCCTCTATCATGTATGGAATGAAATTTGATTGTATAACCCATTGGGGCCTAAGCCTGACCCATAGCAATTTACTAAATTAGTAAATATGAATGGTAATATGCCCGGATACAAGCCATCTAACATCCCCAAAATGTGAAAATAATGTTTAAAAATTGTATTTAAAAAAACTAAATGAAAGAAATTACTAGTATTAATAAAATAAAAGGGATAAAATAAAGTAGAAACATAAATATATGTTTTTTTTACTCGGGAAAGGAATATGTTGCTGCCATTTGCCTAGTTTAAAGCTCCATTAATTGCAGGGTAATGTCGAGCTGTCTTGCCTTGCGCATGATTAAACTGTCCTGAGGTTTCCCGTGAAGTAAAATGCATGTAAAATTCATGGCGGTACTCCAACAGAAAGGTCAGATAAAAGATCCCTGTCTTGCGGTACATTAGAGGCCGGTGTTGTGCGTGTGTTCTTGACCCAAAGTAACGCGGCGGCCATGCTTTTCCCCACAGCTAAGGCTTTAAAGGATCTTAGCGGCGTAGCTAGATTGATGTTGGAGTACGTGAACTTATCATTGGTGCTTAGAACATGAATTGCTCTGTAAATTCCCTATCGTAATATTCTGCTGGGCACTCGTGTTGGCGAAGATGGCACGATATACACGTGAAAAAATGATATATACAGGCCGAGATGGCTGGTTTGTATGTTCGCAAGCAGGCTTTTAGCTAGGGGGTGTCCAGGGTGTCTTTTGGACGCTCTGTACTGAAAATAATAAGAAATTGGACGCCCTACTTTTTTGTAGGACACCCTAAAGACGCCCTATTTTTTCCACTCCCAACCCCTGCCATGCACACATGCCTCCCTTCAGCCTTACTATAAATACAAAAATGGTTTACTGAAGAAAAAAACTCAAATTTACACCTGAAAATGCAGAAAGTAGTGTTTGAGAGCATTATGAATTTCAAAAAAGCCCCCCTAAAATCTTGCACTCAGCACGTCTTCACTGTGCATAGCATACAATAAAAAAAATGGACACCCACCAGAAAAATCCTAGCTAAAAGTCTGTTCGCAAGTGGTAAAATTGAGAAACGCTGCTAAAAATAAATTGCTAATACACTTACTGCAAAATCGCTTTGAGTGTTTACAGATATATTAGAGCTATCGCAATATGGGTTTTAATAAGGGATAAGCACTTCCAACTAAGGCTATCTACCCAAGGGCCAGATTATATTCATATTTAGTAGTTTATGTCTCCCGAATGCTATCTGTACCCCCAATGGTTATGAACATATTAAGCCTGATCAAAGTGTACATCATTAACAGTGATATAATAGCGTGCCTACGCTATCATCCTTATCTAGTACTATTTACAGCATTTTTGTGGATACTCTTGGCTGTTTATATAATAAGCTATGTTAAAAGGTCCTCTCGTTAAATTGAAGCAACAAGCAAAAAGCACTTTACGCCGATCATAATTCGTACATAAAACCAGCACGTACAGGCAAGAGTAATTATTTCTCAAGTTCCTTTGCAACGCATATGGAATACAAGATGAAATAATGCACACTCCATGATTCATAACAAGCTGCAAGCGGTACATATATTCAGGAAAAGTTGAAAATGTATTATATCTTATCGTTACAGTTATGCATGGGTTGCTGTACCAAGGGAAAGGTTCTAAGTGATAAATGTGTAATATTTGAGAGCCTTCACGGCTGTACCTTAGAGGGTCCACCACGTGAAGATTAGCTGGTAACTGTACCTTATCTGGCTTTTTCATGCACTGAAGTACTCAGTAGGGGACGGCTCTCACCTTGGACAATCCATCGCACGATTGTCATTATGTGTGGAGCGTAGAAACTGCTTGCTACTAGTGCTAGTGCACCAAATATATATATATGTATTTACCTTTGCCAAGAAGGTTATATTTTTGGAGGCATTCGTGTATGTGTGTGTGCGTGTGTGTATGTGTGTGTGTGTGTGTGTGTCTGTCTGCCTGTAAACAAGATAACTCAAGAAGGCTCAAATGGATTTTCTTGATATTTGGTAGGTGGGTAGGACTTGATGAGAGCTCACTATAATTAGTATAATTAGATTTGTTTGAAATTGGGGCCCCCTGACGACTTGCTTTGGTACTGCAGTGGAACTTCAGTTTTTTTATCTTTTCTTATTTTTTTTAATTGAGAGCTGGGCAATTTTGTATTTGTTAAGTTTCCAGAAAGGAGCACCAGTTGTTTCTGACAGACAATATCATGAGAGGGAAAATATGTAAGCATAGAAGATCAATTATGAGTTACAT